CCATTATCCCAATGTAATTCCAATAGAACCACAATATAACCCTATTTAACGTCAAGGTTTTCTGCTCTTCAACGTGCATCGGCTGAGAACGTGCCTTGAGGCGACAGTCTACTGGAGTTCTCATAGACAGCATTTGCAAGACGTGAAAAGTGAAAAGTGCTTGTGCAATTTTACTAAAGCAGGTTGCAAATACAAATCGAAAAGAGTAACAGCTGTAATAAGCCTTAATAGTAGTTTCCATTTTCTTTTCCATTATCCCAATATATTCCTTATATTCCCCCTCTATTGCCATATTACAGCTTTTCCAAGCCGTTGCTGTTCAGCACCGGTCCTGGTTTTGCAGGAGTAAGCTGCTGGCACAAAGGCTTTGCTGCAGGCCGGGCAGTGATTGTACAACCTAGGGTTTCCATTTCATTTTCCATTTCATTTTCCATTTCCTTTTCCATTTGATTCTCCATTATCCCAATATAACCCCTGTATAATCTCTATATAACCCAAAATATAGTAGTTTCCATGTTATTTTGCACTATCCCAATATAATTCCAACATAGCCCCAATGGTTCATGAGATGATGGGAATAGAAAATGGAAGCTACTATAGTATATTGGGGTTAGAGCTGGGAGGCATGGAGGCCTATGCAGTTGACCCGTATGGCTCGCGAGTTCTGAGATCTGTGCAGGGCCCCATTTGCAGGTGCGCGGCCATGTTTGCTTAAAGTTTCCCTTCGGAAATCTTGGTGGATCTTTCAAGTGCAGATCTTGTGCTGCAGGGCCTGGGTTTCGCACCCGAGCATTGCGAGATCTTTGTGAGGAGCCAAGTCCAATAGCATAGTTACATAGCCTAAAGCGTGCGGTCATGCAGGCGCACGAGCTGTTTGTTGTGACCCGCGGCAGTTCAGAGCTGTGCGCGGAGGCAGTTAAGTCTTTGCTTCTCATCCAATGAGCTATAGTGAGGGATTTTTATAGGGAATGTTGAGGGGGATACTAGGCGTTTAGACTATAGCTCAAATGAGTTTGCAAAAGTTGACAGCCTCACTTTGCGCTTCCGCAAAATAGGGGGACCCCAATATGGACGCCCAAATAAATACTACAGATACTACAGTCCTTATAACAGGGACCCTCAAAATTGTACCCTTTATTTTGGGAAATGCCAGAGAGTGCGTACCGGCAGCCGCACAAGCGCGACCAGCCGAGAAAAAAACGGCAATGCCGTAGGACATGTGGATACTGCTCTTTCTACGAAGAGTCATATGTCATGCAGTATCTCTTAGAAACTCGCATCAAGGTCTGGGCATATCCAAGAATCGAGTTCGCAAGCTGTGGCGTCGCTCATTTCGTAGCTTGTGCAGGCTCAGAGCCAATAATAGACCAGGGCGCTGAACAGTTTTTCCCCAGCTTCGCTACCCTGGCAAGATGTGCAGACTGCTTCAACTCTTTAAGTGTGCGGAACAGCGAGCGCCTTGCAATTTGCAGTTGACTAGTGAATCGCAGGGGCTATGGTGTAAAGCAGTTGCACAGCCAGGTTACAAACAAGGCTACACGAATTAAGAAGAACAGAGCCACCGACGCTGCTCCAGATGGCAAGCATTGGCCTCAACCGCATCTTCGGCCAAAAGCGTTTCTTCGAGCCACAGCATGAAAAGGCTGTAGAGAATGGGGCTGCTGGCAATTGCCAACTTCAACCAAATGAGGTGACGAGTCAAGTTCGCACAGTGTTCGCTCCTCATGGCAGGGTCCGCTTCGCTACTGTGAAGTTGCTGCGCAGCATGATGAGGCCAGCGGCAAGTGGCGAATACTTGCAGGAGCCGGAAGCTCAAGACTCTGCACAACCTTGTTCTACCTTTGTAAGGTAAGCTCCAGCTGGCCGAGTTGCAAACAGCGCATCCGCAGCCCTGTTGCAGTGGCTTGCTTCAGACTGAGGTCGGCGTTGTCTCAACATCGGTCGTGCTCTACATCCGGTATCCCAAGCACGTTCAACATGGAGTTTGGGCTTCTGGCGGGTTTGGGCTGGGTTTGCCAAATCTGCACCAGAGGGTCATGCACGGCAGACTGGGCGGATTGTGGGACACCGTGTTTTTCTCTAGCTGTTGTCAGGTTTCATCATCTACTTTCGGTTGCCAGCCTTCGCAGGACCGGGAGAATTCCTTGCTTGGTGGTGTGCTTCAACCAAGGTAGTCATAGTCCTGGTACTGGTCACAAATTGATAATGTTACTTCAAGCGCAGATCACCTCCTTCTGAGCTGCCGCAGCAGAGGAACCATGATTTCATCACCGCCATGGTGGAGCAAAATCCGGTTCTAGCGCCGCTTTGCTACGTCTTGTGCTCGGACGCTTGCAAAGTTGGGGCATGCTGAAGCCTCACGGGAGACTTCCCAAACTTCCTATTCCAGAAGATACAGATTAGATTTTGTTGTGAGTTCCTTACCTAATCGTGACGAGCTCATGTTACACATCGACAGGCTGTGTTTTGTTCTGTGCATTATGGTTCCTTTGCTCCATTTAGCTCCTGATCAGGAGCAACTCTAGGTGTGCTAGAGTAAGGCTGGGGGGAAGGTCCCTAGCAATGGGCGGAGTAGTTTTGAAATCCAGAGGGTCGGGTCCTGAGCCGTGAGCGCTGAGATCGGCGTCCTTGTAGCCGTGATTGGGATAACCTGTCCAGGCCAGTTCCTTGGGATTCTATGTCTGTATATCTCTATATTCTATACGTATATCTATATGTTTACATTTATATGTGTATATATATATATATTCATATGTATGCTCACACATCACGTTGTCATACTATTGATGTGGTACACACATACACGTGTATATATAAATAAATGTACATATGTATATAATGTATATCGATAGACATATTTATACACATTATGTATATATATATACGTGGGTATCTATATTCTGCATGTTCGGAAGCACGCCGGCATAAAGACTGACTATGAGTGAAGCAGCTCAATGCCTCCACAAGAACGCCCAGTGAGCGCGTTTTGTCGCATTGCTCCTTAAAGGTAGCTAGGATTCATTGGTGCATCTGGATTCTGGGGTTGGTTCCCTAAGAATGGTAAGCCAGGATTTCAAGCAGTTTTCCATTCAAACAAGTAAACTCGCTGTCTCAATACCTTTGACTTGCAAGGGATAGAAGCGGTCCCATCTGGACAGATTTCACTTCTGGCATGGATTCTTTCCAGATGCAGAACGGTGACACGGACAGATTCGGTAAAATCATTAGGATTTATCGCCATATTCGCATGAGATGTGTGGATATGTAGCATAGAAAGACCTCGAGACAGGGCTTGATTTCCACACGGAGCGCAGACGTGCGGTGGCAGGAAACAGCCAGAAGGGTTGTGCGAAATTCCGTATGATTAGCAGCCAGAGGACCATCTCCCATGACTCCATATATGCCCTTTAATAATATGGCGGTGTCCATTTCTTTTACATTATTCCAACATAAGCCCAATACATATACATATATGTAAGCTGAAAACGCCGTGTGTGTGTGTGTGTGTGTGTCTGTGTCTGTGTCTCTGTAGTTGTGTGCCTTCACTCAAAACTGCGGCATGAGGGCGTCGCAAGTATTGGCAGGTGCGACTATGTTGAGCTTTCTCGGAGGAGTCCTGTTCAAACAGCCGCAGCCCAAGGAAGCTATCTATATTTGTATCTATGTTATTTATATCGATATATGTAATGATGCTTTGGATTATGTTGGGGTTATATAGCAATGATAATGCAAAAAGAAAATGGGAACTGCCATATTATGAGGGATTCCTTAAAGGTTGCACAGCATTGTAAGCATATTTATCAGGCCCTACGCCAGCATGTACGCGTACTGCGGCTACATAGCACCGGGCCAAGCTGAGAAAGCAGAGTTGAGTTGACAACCAGCTTCTGAATACTGCCCCGGCTGGTTAACACTTGGATACAATTTATACCCTAAACCTTCAACCCTAGACCCTAGAACAAATGATTATGTAGAGCCATCAACATAACCTGTATTGTAGACTGATGATGGGTGGGGTCATGGCTTCAAAGAATTCTGGCCAGGTGGGTGCGACCATCTCCTATTTCGTCACCACTTTTGTGTTGGGAGATTACATGCCGCAGCCTTGAAAGCTGCGTCCGGAGTTATCACGTAATAATAATAGTGTTAAAAATGGCAATACTATAAGAAATAGGTTTTGTTCCAGTAATAATAGTAGTAACAATACTCGAAATACTAGTAATATTAATTAGTAATTGTATTTTGAAGAGTAATGATAATACCAATCACCATAGTAATGATGGTAGCTATGAGGAGGAAGCGCCTGGCTGCCAACTCGCAGTTGTACCAGAAGTTCGAGGTGCACATTCCGTTCTCTTCTCCACGCTGGCGTTCAGACTGTAGCAAAGATGGGAGCCTGAATAATTGCCAATATTGTAGTATAGTATATTATAGCATATTAATTATGGTACGTTATGGCAGAACTATGCTCTCAATAATTACCAATATTATGGTTCCATATTCCGTATATAATTATGGTCTATGGCACCTCAAACAGGACTCAAAATTGTATTGGTAATTATTCAGGCCCCTAAACCCTAAATCCCCCCAAAACCCTAACCCTAAACCCTTAACCCTATATGAGATTAGTATTTATATTGGTAGTTATTTTGGCCCCTGTAGCTAGGCCAACGTGCGCAGGAAGCTGAGATGAGGATCATTTTGGCTGCTTTGCCTCATACAAGACCAATATTACAGTAGAGTATATATTATGGTACATAATGTAAAGTAGGTAAATTATGGCATATTATGGCCTAAATAGCTACCAAAATTGTGGTTCCATACCTGATGAAGAGCACGAAAATCAGGTCGGAATGCATTTGCCTACCTTGTTGCCGCTCGATACACTATGGAGGGATCCCCAGCCAGCCTGGAAAAGCATTTGGGCGTCTCTCGCGTGAATGCAGACGAAGGTCTTCCCCTTTTTCTTCGTGAATGGGGCGGCTGCTTTGGTCGGAGTTCGATGCAGGTCCGCCACCCTGAAGATGTCGAGCTGTGAATTTGTCCAACTGCCAAGGACCTTCATTGCTGCTACCTCTGTAAGCTGCATTCCTGGATCGGTCCCTTGCCTGGGGATAGTACAAAAGTAGCAAGAGTTTAGATTGGGGCCTCGTAGTATGTTGCCAGGTCATCTACACAACCGCAGGCGGAGCGCTTGCGAATTTGTTGCACAAGATGACCGACGACGAGGTCTTCATGAAGTATAGCCTGTCGTAGATGCAAAAGTGCTCATTGCTCAACCCTAGACCCATTGCAGGAGCTAGACAAGACGCAGCTTATTTGGGCAGCGCTGAGCGACCCGAATGTCAAAATTTGTATGGCGGGCGTCACCTGCGCCCTCATCGCTGCATGCTCAGCAATGACCCAGCAGCCGCCTTGCCTGCAAATCTGTGAGCTGCAGGTTGTGGCCATTATCCAACTCACACAGTCTGATGCAGAGAAGACTAAGGGTCCTCAGCTAAACATCTTGGCTGTGTGTCGGCCTGCATCTTCTTTCCAAAAGCTTAGGTGAGTAACGCATTGACATTCGGCCCTTCGACGCTACATGAAGTGAAGGGATGCAAGGCCAAAGACATGTGCCGGCAGGTCGCAAGCGGCGCAGGTTTTGATGAGCAAACGTGACGTAAACAAAAGTAGATTGCATAAGGCAAACTGAAACATTTGCTGATCGGAGCCCAGAACGCTACCCTGGAATTCAAGCAAACTTTCGTGCAGAAGGGCGCTGAGAGCTGGTAGCACTTCCTGCCCTAGACACACGGATTGTGACTTGCTAGAGCGCTGCCCTTCAAGCGGAGAATGCCTACCAGGTGGACATGGAATGGAAGAGAAGCTCGCGTTGTGCCGCACTGCTTGTGGGGTAGGTGGCTCAAGTTAGGCTGGCGGGCAAAACGCAACACAAAAGGTGCTTTCTGGAAGTTGCCTCAGCTTTGCCAGTGTACCAGAGTATGTACCAAGAATGCTGTAAGACTGCAAGGGCAGTGAAGACAGGCAATTGAAATCTCTAGGGACAGCCAGCCTTTGCCACGGTTGCTGCGGCCGCGTCTGCATTCCAACTCTGGCCGGGACACCATCACGAACAGATGCATTTGACAAGGCCATGCAGCACCTGACTGCTTGTCAGCAGCTTCTCAGCGCAATCACACTCATCATGTAGTCAATGTAGTTATCAGTTGCAGCAGCAAGTATCAAGAGGTCCGATGATGCTCGGCCAGGTGGGTCAGCTAAAAATGTATTAGAATATACTATAATAAGTATACTATAATATCTAGCGGGGGCCAGCCTTGCCGCCTTCAAAGCCGGCCTTGCTCAAGCCATGCTTTCGACGGGCGGACGCCAAAGACGTCGACCCTTGTTAGTACGCTTTGGTGGTCAAAATTCAAGACATTTTTGCACTCGCTTTTGAGGCTTTCCCACACTCTTCTCGAGCCAGCATCACCAGCGCCATTGGGCCTTCATTTCTCACTCTCAGACACTTCAACATACCTAGGGATTTGGAGGGATCACATGTGTGGTATGAAGGGGGCCCAGACAGGCCCCATGATGCTCATGATGCTACTTTCTTGGTGGCCGCTGGGGCCGAACATGTGCTGTACATCCTCGCGAAACGCCCAAAACATGTGGGGGTTGTCCGAAAACCC